AACACCCAGATCAAAAACAGATATACCTACTCATAAATACTTGTAAAATATGTACTTTGCGGAGATTGAACCCGGAAATATAGTTAAACCGCTACATCACCAAGGTCATTAAAAATATTCAAGGTCATTAATAATAAAAATGAAATTATTATTCTCGATATTGATTTTGGAGAGTCCGACGGTTTTTAATCAGCTCGCTCGACTGAGTATTGAAGATTAATCTTTGGATTCCGTATAATGGCGGCAACTATTCATCAACGTCAACCACGACACGGCAATTTATTGACGCCGAGAAGCCTGTTAACATAATTTGGGAATCATGCTCAATCATGCAAATAGAATCCGATCTTGCTAATTACAGAGGTCCTTATTTTTCCCTCCATATTTTTTGAACACATAAAATGATCGTTTGACTTTCGGGACCAAATATTATAGTGCTAATACATTTTTTTTTATGCAACTTAGAATAGCAAACAAGCTGACAGCCCACCTGATAGGAAGTGGTAACCGTCGCCTATAGACATGAGCAGTACCATGGACATAACAGAGTATACTCTTTCGCCCACGATACCCCCATGCATGCGTTGCCATTCCTGAGGACTCAGGTGTTATTCCTCTGTACCCAGTAAATTCACGCCATATCCCACCCTTCAAACCGAAACACAGCCATGCAAACACAACTGTTTCACGGTTGAAACACGAATGGGACAGAGGTACCCAAGCAATCGACTTTTATACAAAGTCTCCCTCTGGTGAATATCACACATCAATACAATACCCCTCCCTCCCTATACATCCTAAACTCTAGGATACATAGGGCTTTGAAATATTTTAAATTTCTCTTAGGTCTAGGTACTACAGAATGAGGTTCTTTAAAAGGTCCGTAATAAGGTTTCTTAAGGGTTATTTTTATAGGTGATAATGAAATAGTAACCCCACCCGCGCTATCGGTATACACCGGCGGGGCACCAGTGAAGGATGATAGATGAGGATGAAGCAGGTCAGTTAGCCCATCGTAACGAATTCAACGAGAATTGTTCACGATGGTTTTCAGGGGGAACCACGCGGAAGTTGACCTGATAGGACATATTGCTAGCAATGGGGCTGTCAAACTCCATTGCTAACAATCCCTTCCCTCCAAATGGTTTCTTAAGGATTCGCAACACGCGTTTGACAGCCCTGGTAATGCAAGTGTCTATAAGTTACAGTAACTGAAGGCTATCAAACGGGCCATATACTTGGTTTCGTCATAGTAATTTATAAAAAAAAAAGCCTGTCTAAATTACTTGTTGGGTAATAATTATATGAAATTAATAGCATCGCTGTATCGGTCCCGATATAGAATAGGCCATCACTTCCTTTCCCGTGGGTGTCGTAAGAGGCGACTAAGAGAGGGCAAGGGATGGGCAGAAGCGTCTCTCTTAAAACGTCTCTAAAAGCCTTATTGCGCCTGTGAAGCGTGGCAACTACTGGCAAAACTTGTAAAAGGGAAAGCCTGTATTCAGCACTGGACAGTTAACGACTTATAATAATAAAATATGGAATTAGGCGTCAGGGGTGTCCGATTCTAGAACATGGGTATACGGGTATGCGACCCCGGCCGTCTAAACCGCTGCAGTGTCACAGTCCTTTCCGCGACTGCAGTATCCCTCCTCCCCTTTCCTATCCCACATAAGTCCCATATTCCTCTTATTTACCAATTTCCTTTACGCATTTCCAACGTTCCCTTCCTTTTTTCCTCGATCCTTTCCTCCATACCGTAGGTGACAGAAACCACCAACATATACATTCCCAAAAAAGGTTGACCTCAGGCGGACGGGCGGTCGTAAAACTATAAGCCACATCTTTTTGTAATATGGATAATAAATAGATTACGCGGACCCCAAATAATAATTGGGATAAGAGAAGGAAGATGATGATGGTATAGAGTTAATAGCAATATAGGGAGTCAGTGGATACAGGTGGTACCGTTTCTTACGTAGTCAACCGTCTAAAGAGATCTATTGGGGAGAAAGAGATTGTTAGCAATAGAGTTTGACAGCCCCATTGCTAGCAATATGCCTTATTAGATCGACCTCCACGTGGTTCCCCCTGAAAACCATCGTGAACAATTCTTGTTGAATTCGTCTCGATGGGCTAACTGACCTGCTTCATCCTCACCTATCATCCTTCACTGGTGCCCCGCCGGTGTATACCGATAGCGCGGGTGGGGTTACCATTCCATTATCATCTATTAAAAAAAAGGGGTCTATCAGCTCTACTAGCAGTCGACAGATAATAACTGAGATGATGATGATGATACGGAATTTATAGATTTGCAATTACCTCAAAAAGAACAAAATAACGGTATTCGATAACGCTTTACAGAATCTATTTAAAAACGTAATGAAATTACTTCTGGGTCAGTAACACGTATGTAATAACCCTAATGTTAAGTTACCGTAAACATTTACTACCAAACGGGATTCGTGATGGTTACCATCATTGTGGTATTAATAAAAGAATACACAATGCAGCAATATATTCGTATTGCTGCATTGTGTATATTATATATGTATATTATGTAAAATGCAAGAACTAACAAGATTTCTCTACTAGTAGAAATTAGGGCGATTAAAAACTTTACTCTTTATAAATTATAGAAATGGCTTCATATAACCCGCCAATGTAAACGTCTAATCTGTTAATAATACTCTTTTAGCACAAGAGACCTATTAAAATTAACGGATTATGCGAAGCAAATCCTGTTATAATGAATAAAAATGCAAAATGTTTTAAAAAATAATAAGATTTTCTATAGTTGGCAATGTCTACTATAACTCGATGTTTTTTTTTTTTATACAACTTAGAATGGCAAACAAGTTAACGACCAACCTGAAGGAAAGTGGTAATCGTCGCCTATAGACATGAACAGTACCATGGACATAACAAAGTATACTGTCTCGCCCATGATACCCCTCATGCGTTGCCATTCCTAAGGACTCAGGTGTTATTCCTCTGTACCCTATAAATTCACTGCCATATCACAACCTTCAAGTCGAAACACAGACATGCAGTTTGCATGGCTGTTTTTGCATGGCTGTTTTTGCATGGCTAATTTTGCATGGCGGTTGAAACATGAATGGGACAGAAGTGCCCAAGCAAACGACTTTTGTACAAAGTCCCCCTCTGATAAATATCCCCGTTATGCGGACGAAGTCGTGGCTAAAACTAAACATTCTACAATGAATGTATATTTATTTGCAGCCATTATAATAAATCTTGATACAGAGTACTAGATACAAGTGGTCATGATACTTTGTAATAATAATATCTAAATAATAAACCTATTTTAGGTTTGAGACTACTATGAACTATATTTAGCAACGACAGAGCTTCTCAAAGTTATTGCTTCACGTAACCCTATTAATCTTTCAAGACCACAGCCAACCCCTTAAAATATTGACAATGGATAGAACAAATAAAATATTTTATTAAAAAAAAATACGTAGAAAAGAGCAATAAATATTATTTTTATTATTTTAGTCAATTTAATGTGAAGGTTGTGCCTGTTTTCTGCACAAATAGTATTGATTCTTCAAAAAATATTGCTACCGCCGTTACGTAAATTTTATCGCATACACCTTACGATTAACTGGTGTACCCTAAGGACTACGCACACCCCACTTTGAGAAACCCTGGGTTCTAATAATAAATTGTATTACACGAAAAAGGATATTCTGTTCAATTAAAATTAATGGACAAGTGTTTATAAATTTATGCCTTTAGGATCAAAGTACAAGATCATCTATCTTGTATAATTATCTCAATCCAGCAATTCGATTCGATTCGATTAATCGCCACTAATCGACATACCATCCGGAGCGAGGGATCGTTAATTTGCAAATTGGTATTTCTTGCATGATCGAGCTCCACTAAAGGTTATCAGGCTCATAGCTAATGACAGTTTAGATAACATCTGAACACTAGTCGTAAACCTTTTTGTATAGCTTTTCCCCGCGACTTTGTCCGCATGATTGGGATATGTTCACTAACTTGGGTAATAAGTAATCTATACCCTTCTGTATAATTAAACAATAGGTTCAAAGGAAAATAACCATAACAAAAAAAAACTAAAGAAAACTACGAAAGCGACAAAGAGCAATATGACAATTATAAAAACAAAAAATATATAGAAATATTATAAAAATAAAATCCATAAAAGATCTAAGAAGTTTGCAAAAATACGTGTATTCCAAATTTCATAGTGGTAAAGCTATTAAGGCATTAAGAGATAATAAATACACAAACCAACTCACTATCATATTTACACTATTACTAAGAGTTATATTTTTTTACACTACTGAGGTAACAAACAAGCATACGGCCCACCTGATGGTAAGTGGTTACCACAGCCTATGAACACCTGCAATACCAGGGGTATTACGCACGCGTTGCCGACCCTGAAGAAACCTCTTTAGAAGAACTTCATGCTGTAGTGTCTTAGGAAAACCTCGGCAGAGAGCTCATTCCATAACCTAAGTGTCCCTGGGAGAAAACATCTCTGAAACCGCGTTGTAAGCGACAAAACGTGTAGTGAGCCATAAGTTTATTTTAAAAACTTAAAAATTTTAAACAACATTTAAAAAATATATCTAATTTGTCATTCAATATATCAATATCTGGCTACTGAGCAATCAGAGAATTGAGCAGAGGAATAACCTGATAAGTATATAGATGTTATTAGCTATATGATCCAAGCATAGAATGAACCGCCCTTTCCTTTCCCATGAGTGTCGTAAGAGGAGACTAACGGAACTTAATGACCGAGGCATGGGCAGCAGCGTCCCTCTTAAAACGTCACCAAAAGCCTAACTGCGGTTGTCAACTCCACTGCCAAGCGTAGCAGCTACTGGCAAAACATCCCTTATGGGAAAAGCCTAAGTTCAGTAATGGACAATTAAAGTCTGATATAATAATATAGATGTAATTATAAATAAAGAAAATACCATTATTTCCAGGTCTCGCCCCAACGGAGTCCATGGACGGTGGCATACAGATTGGGGCGCAGAGCTTGAGCGATGTGAAACTGGAGTCGTGTCGAGAACAGCTGATATGCCTAATGTACGCCAGTCCCGCCAAATATGCACCGTATAGCAACCTGATTTCGGCGCAGTTGAGCAGGTATGACTACAATTTTCAGGTATTTTACAATAAACTATGTATTTTTAATGGATGACGATAAAACGCCGTATGGTCCCAGTATAGATTAGGTCACACTTTCCTTTTCCGTGGGTGTCGTAAGAATCGATAAAGGAAGGGCGAGGGATGGGCAGCAGCGTCCCTCTTAAAACATCTCCATAGCCTAACTGCGGTTACCAATCTGCCTGCCAAGCGTGGCAACTACTGGCAAAACCGTCCCAAGGGGGAGGCTTATGTACAGCAGTAGGCAGTTAAAGGCTGATGATGATGATAAAATGGTAACCCTGCCTGTGCTGGTACAAGTGAGGATGAAAGCAAATCAGTTACCCCATCATAACGAATTTAAGAATTCACCACGACAGTTTCCAGAGGAAACTAGAAGGAGCATGAATGCCGATCTGATATGGTATATTGCTAACAATGGCGATGTTAGATCCCATTAGTAAAAATCTCTTCCGAGCCCTCCCCCACAGTGTACTAGTTGGCCCGTGCTATGCTTAAGAATAATTAGCTCATTTTGACATTAGGCTCACCGTTTTGAGGTATATGATGATACCATTATTATTCACTCATGGATCCTAAACCAAGGTCGTAGCTAGACCCAAGTTTAAGATAGGACAAAATACTTTTTAGTTGGGCAGAACGCAATTAAGTAATTTCTAAAAAGAAAATCTGTCTAATTTCCATCGGATCTTTTAAGGTAGTGTGTGCTCAGTGGCCCCCCTCCCCCCATAGCTACGGACTTACCCTCACCCTTATGTCATAACATCCACTGACGTCTACAGATTATAAAACTTTGTATCCACAATATTTCAAATTCCAACTATGAAATTGAAAAACTTTCCCAAAGAAATACAAATAGAGAAATATAAAAATGACTTCACGTTTCAATTCACAAAATAGAAAAACAGAAGGTTCTCAATTCGTATTTTTTTTTTATTTTGGAAAGGTTGAAATTCCCGGTTTTGTTGCTTTTATCAACCGACTTCACAAAAGGAGTCCTCAATGCGCTTGATTTTTTTATGTTTGTCACCTTATAACTTAAAGCTTCCCCCTGCCTTATACAATCAATTCATAGATCCTATGTGTTACCTTAACGATATCCCGCGGTTTAAGATATCTGTAGTCCCCTTACTCTGGATAAACCGTTCCCAATAGACTTATACGCATACTTGCCAACGAATCGCAGTTGCACATCAAGTGTTCCATGGATTCCGATTTCTCACCGCACAGCCTGCATAATGTGTCCTAAGTCCATCTTGTATGTATATACCTTACTGGCATATGCCCAGTTAGGGCACCCATAATGAGTCTTGCCTGTTGTCTGCCACCGCTGTAGATGAGTTTATCTCATCCATTCAGCATTGTCGTTTAAAAACTTTTTAGTATGCCTAAAACCTTTTAAAATAAAATTCTAAAAAATATATATACTTACTAATAACTGTATATTATAGTTCATAAAATTCCTTTTATATACATACATATATATATAGACATTTTTATGAATGCTCTTAGTCGTCTATTCTCTGACACCTTTGTCGAACTTTCATATCCGTACTTCTGTTGTAAAGCGAGCAAACATCAAACAATCGCTGTTATTGCGTGCTATTCGCATACCAGTTCTATACTGAAACATAGTACTTCATTTTATTTTCCACGAAATTGATTTTCCATTGAATGATTTGAAATATACAGGTCAACGAGTCTCAAAAAAACAAATCGCATGACCTTTAATAGGTATCCGTTAAATAATAACAAATAAAAGTTAAAAATAAAATATATTATTATATATATTTTTTTTCTCCTTTTTTTTTCCCATTGTTCTCCAATTTTCGTTCTGGGCCGAAGAATATCGGACTCTTTCGTACCGTATCAGCCATTACTGTCCAGTGCTAAACATAGGCCTCCCGGGGGAGAACCCCCATAACGGGAGTTTTGTAGCTGCTACGTTTGGCAGGAGAATTGGCAACCGCAGTTAGTCTTTGATGATGTTTTAAAAGGGACGCTGCTACCCATAATTTGACCATTAGGTTTCCTTAGTCGCTTCTTACGATATCCTCCCACATCCAGTAAGAGATGGCCCATTCTATGCAGGGACCACACGGCAATATATAATCGGCATTATTAATATTTATAAGATTTTATATTTCTTTACAACCAATTGTAACTAGCGACTCTGTTCATGTGGATTAGAATAAATTTATTTATTATATTAAATTCGATCAGCCAAATATCAGATGGAAGAGATTGTTAGAAACTAGCGGCCTCATTGCTAGCAATATAACCTCGATGCGGTTACTGTCGGAAAAACACAGTAGTTAATTCTTGATGAATTCTTCACGATGGGTCATGTGACCTGCTTACATCCTCACCTGTCATCCTTTATTAGTACTCCGTCAGCGTAAACCGATAGCATAACAGGAAGGGTTACCATTATTATTGGATTATCATCTGTTAAAAAAGCAGCCAAATCCATCTCATTATATTAGAAGGATCGAGGAATCGAATTAAATTTTTTGAATTTGGAATCTGACAAAAATAAATGTTTTTTGCAGGGAACTGAATGAACTAAGGCGGCCAGTGTCCGACAACCCTGAAATCCTGAGATTCTTCCGCTACATGCGGGCGGCGAGACGCGGGCAAGAGGGCGTCGACTGCATGCGGGCACACCCCGCTTGTTCCGCTAACGCTGCGCCTGCGCATACCATGATAGCTGCGTACCACGACATAAATAAACTCGTCACCGCGAGAAAGATTAAAAATTAATGCGTAAGTACTGCTTGTAAATTAATATTAATATAATAAATGCAGAAGTTCGTAACGATGTATGAATGGTTATTTGTTAGTCTTTTACGCAAAAAAAAATACTGAACAGATTTAAATGAAATTTTGTATACGGGTAGATTATATCCTCACTTAGCACATAGTATACTATTACTATATTATTATTCTAGTGTTAATTGAATAAAATTTTACTAGTTTAAAGTTAACTTGTTCTTTACCTTATAATGGAAAATAAGTTGACGGCGCATGTTTGGTAAAAAGTGATGACAGTCTTCTATAGGTATGAACAGCATCATGGATATCACGGAGAGTGGACTGTGATGCCCATGGTACCGTGATAACTATTATATTCGCTACTCCTGAAAACTAAGATTTTTTTATAAATGGATAATAAATAAATAGTAACCCCGCCTGCGCTAACGGTATACGCTGACGGGGCACTAGTGAGAGATGATAGGTGACAATGAAAACACAGATCAGTTATCCCATCGTGATGAAGGAAACTGCGAGGAGATCGACCTGACAGGGTGTATTGCTAGTAATGGAGCTACTAATCCCCATTATTAACAATCCCTTCTCCCCACAAGACTAAGAGGTTATGTCCTCGTATCTTGTAATTTCATCATCATATCGCACCCTTCGGATCGAAACACAGCTGAACCTTTATTTATTATATGTAAATTCTGCTACTCGCACAAAGCCGGGTCGGATCACTAGTTTATAATATAAATAGAAAATAGAATAGAAATACAATATAATGGGAGTTATTTCTTTTCTTTTCAGGGAATCAAAGCGCTATCTTTCTGGCACGTGGACGTTATCAAATTTCATGGACAGTTTCCATCAAATTATTCTAATAAACTGATTTTTTGTGTATAAACCAGAACTGTTAACAGTGAAAAAAATATTGTTTTACAAGTTGACTATCCATTCCGTATTTATATACATGTTTTCTTATATATATATAATATAATGAACCGATGTCAAAAATTAACTTATCCATTTAAATATACAAAACATACAAGACTCGTTAACTTTGGAGCATAATATTCCAAAAGAGACTTTTAATATTTAATTATTATACATTTAAATATTGAAGTACCCTTCAGTTTTATTTTATTAACTTGCATTATAATAACTGAGCATAATGTAATATAAATAATTAGAATAATTAATACTTAAAACTTTTGTATATTAATTCTAAACATTCATTTTATTGTATATTAAACACTTTCTTTTTTAAATAAATATAATTTAATAAAGAAGGCAATATTTGCATTGGGTGACTAATGCAAATGGTTAACCTTAGTGAAAAGACGTTAATATGCTTATAAAATTTAATTTAAAATGTAACAGATTTATTTATATTATTTATTTTGTATAATAATAGGTATATTGTGGTATGAATGTAATTTATTGTATGAATCTATATGAGTGTGTGAGTGTAAAACAATATTTATTATTTAGCTTATTTTTTTCAATGTAATTTATTATTTACACTTTAACATTTATGTAAAACACATAAATACTTAATATTTTCTATAAGGATTTAAATCTTTGTTTTTGTTTTATTTAATTTTAAAGTGGGAATTGTAAAAGTGAGTTTACTCTTGCAATATAAGGTAATTGGGTAAATAAATAAACTTGTATATATTATTATTAAATGAAAGAAAATTATTAGGTAATATAAAAAATATTTAAAAAATTTTGCAATTATATAATCTCAGTAGGTAAATTAAATAAATGAAACTTTTGCATTTTTTCTTTTTAGTGTATATAGTTTAATTTATTTTTTGTTTATTTATTGACGTGTTTATTTATTCTTATAGTCATTAGAGAAGAAAATAAAAGATTTGACTATTCGTTTTATTTTTAATTTATTTAAAACTGTTTTCTTTTCATTACTACAGTTGTAATTTGACGTATTTAATTACGTTGTATTCAGAACCGTCTAGGAAATCAACACCTTGAAATTATTTATTGATAATATAGATAAAAAATTAAATTGTCTATATATTTGAACCAAAGTGACCGACATAGTCCAAAGGATAAGTAAGCTGAAATGGCAGTAGGTTGCTCACATGGCTCGAAGAACCGACAATCGATGGGGAAGAAACGTTACGCAATCGAAAAAGTTATTTATAAAGAAAATATTTATGTAGAATTTGTCGTATTATATTTGAGCCGAATAAATAAAGATGAGGAAGGTAAATCAATAGGCTGGAAAGGTTCTTGAGTGGCGACGCCGTACGGGGAAACGCTGTATAGGACGAACCCCTACTAGATGGAGTGATGGCCTCAAATTCATTGCAGGGAGTTAATGGATGCAGGTGGTTCAGGACTGTTCCTTATGACAGTTTATAGGAGAAACCTATGTTCAGCAGTGGGCAGCTAACGGCTGAAATCATGTTGACGACATTTTATTCACACATGTTACATACAAGAAGTTTCATAGACACATTAGATTGAAAATGTTTATAAAATAATATATTAATCAAATTTTCAATTAAATCTGTACATTAATATTATGCTTATAATAGAATTGAAACGGATGCTCGTTTACTCCCTTTTATATTAAAAAAAAAAACAGGTATTTAGAGTTACATATTTTATACAACAAACAATTTTCCGTGAGCAGTTGCATCAATCGTCACGTAATTTAAGATTGTATTCTATAAAAAAAAAACGTACTTCAATTCTGAAAAATCCATTTATTTTGATTTCAAAAGTAAACAACTGAAGCGATTTCGATAAAATTTCTGTCGCCACAACTGTGTAAACACCTGAGTCCTCAGGAATAGCAACGCATGGGGGGTATCATGGGAGAAACAGTATACTCTGTTATGTCAATGGAACTGCTCATGTCTATAGGCGACGATTACCATTTTCCATCAGGTGGGTTGTCAACTTGTTTGCCATTCTAAGTCGTATAAAAAAAGAAACAAACATTTAAAAAATTCAACCGAATTGAAAACCCCCTGCTTTTTTTAAATATGGAATATATTAACATACGTGAAAAAAACTACAAAAGGGACCTGAACTCTATTAAAAAAAAAATTACAATCAATTCAAAGTTAACGACGTAATTATGTACATTTTTGGACTATCTTAACTATTAAAAAATACAAAGAAATTAACCAATTATCCTACTGAGAATTCGTTTGAAAACCTTGTTTGCGTGCTGTAAATGTCTCGCTTTCAAAACCGTCAGATGGCGTGATTAATTTGAATAATTACTCGCTTAAATAGCATGCTATTACTATCACCTTTCTTTCCAGCCGTTAACTGTCCACTGCTGAACATAAGCCTTTCCCATAAGGGGAGTTGAGCCAGTAGTTGCCACACTTAACAGGCTATTCAGCATCCGCAATTAGGCTTTTAGTATTGTTTTAATAGGGATGCTATTGCCCATTCCTCGACGCCTAAGTTCTCTTAGTCACCTCTTATAACACCCATGGAAAAGATGCCGTGTAGTCCTGAAATATAATGCTATCCCAAGACCACAGGGCATATTTTATTTCATCTTTTCTTCGATAATATTTTTTTATGCAACTTTGAATGACAAACAAGCTGACGGTCCACCTGATGCAAAGTGGTAACCGTCGCCTATAGACATGGGCAGTATCATGGATATAAGAAAGTAGGCAAGCTGACAGCCCACCTGATGGAAAGTGGTAACCGTCGCCTATAGACATGAGCAGTATCATAGACATAACAGAGTAGGTATATTGTTTCGATCATGATACCCCCATGCATTGCCATATAGTGCTAAGTATCCCACTTGTCTTTATATAGCGATGGTGAACAATAAGGAATACTTTTCTAATCATTTCAACCATTAACTCTCCACTGCTGAACATAAGCCTTCCCCATAAGGGGAGTTTTGCTAGCAGTTGCCACACTTGACAGGCGAGTTAAATGTTCTCGAGGAAGAAATGTTCTCGAGTGATGACCCCGTACGGGCAAACTCAGTATAGGACGACCCCCCACTAGATGGTATGACGACTTCAAATGCATGGCAAGGAGTCAGTAGGTGCAGGTGGCTTAGGTCCGTTATTTATTGCAGACTATGAGGGAGACCTATGATCAGCTGAGGTGATGATGAGACGATATATATATATATATATATATATATATATATATGTGTATGTGTGTGTGTATATACATATGTGTATATATACATATACACTATATGTTTTCAATATATATACAAAGTTCCAACACGTGCCGACAAACACGACTATTAAATTGTCCGTTTGTTCACTTTTGTATTGTTCTATTTTAACAAACCATACAAATCCAGCTTAAAACACGGTAACTTGATCTATACTAAAAGATCCGGTTAAGTGGCCCCCACCAATTTCTTTGTAGAAAGTTGATCTGTTATGTGCATTGAATATTCAAACGTATACAACAGGAAGAGAGTTGAATATCGAATGAATATAAAGCTATGAGTCAAGTGAATCGTCATCCACTTATTATGTAAGTATTTTTGTATGTTTTTCGGTCACTGTTGCAAATCATTTTGCCACGTCACAAATAAGGGGTCATTGTACTATTCTTTATAAAGGTCATTTACTTAAGATAAATCTTGTACAACAGTATTATGTTTTTATAATATGTTAGTGAATTAAATGCCTGTATACATATTATTGTGTGATCCCGGTATAGAATAAGCCAACCCTTCCTTTCCCGTGGGTGTCTTAAAAGGCGACTAAGGGACGGCGAGGAATGGGCAGCAGCGTCCCTCTTAAAACATATCTAAAGCCTAACTGCAGTTGCCAATCCACCTGCCAAGCGTGGCAACTACAGATAAAACCCCACGAAGGGGGAGGCTTATGTTCAGCAGTGGACAGTTAAGGGCTAACGATACATACTAACTGATCCAACAAATGTTCTGCTATATAAATATTTTTTTTTCTGGATAGGGATACGCTAATCGCCTAGCGTTATAATGCTATACTTTACGACCTATTCTCATGCCTACTAAATATACATAAAACGTTTCATAAAAATCGGTCGAGCCATTTCGAAGGTGTTTCATCGCCAACATCGTGACACGAGATGTTTATGTATATGTAATATACAAAAAAAAAACAAAATAATATATAATACCAGAGAGAGACGTTGTATAAAAGTCGTATGCTTGGGCACCTCTGTCCCATCTGATTTCTACCGTGAAATAGTTGTGTTTGCATGGCTGTGTTTTGGTTTGAAGGATGGGATATGGCAGTGAATTTATAGGGTACAGAGGAATAACACCTGAGTCCTCAGGAATGGCAACGCATGGGGAGTTTCATGGACGAAACAGTATACTCTGTATGTCCATGGTACTGTTCATGTCTATAGGCGACGGTTGCCACTTTCCATCAGGTGGGCTATCAACTTATTTGCCACTTATTTGCTAAGTTGTAAAAAAAATGTGCGTTCTAGATAAGGCCGTCGTATGATTGGTAATAATGAATAAATAATAATAAATAAGATAAAGTAAGTATAATTATATTGTTTATACTGCATTTAAATGTATATTTAGCCTGTTATTTCTCCCTTTTTTAGTCTTATTATTTGTCTATTACGCCTTGACCAGATAATTTTAATTTTTCCTCTACATCCTAAGGTTGCCTGGAAGAGATCACTATTTAGCGAGCCCATTGTTGCCTATTTATATTTCTTTTATGTAATTAAGTATTTATTTTGTTTATGTACATATTTTTAATCTTTAGATTAGATTAGATTTGTTAGATTTGTTTATTTGATCAGAACATTGTTTTTTACAGATATTGATCCATTGTGAAGTACAAATGTTCGCCTTATAGTCTAAAAAAGCATGCAAAATTATAAAAAATTATTTATCTTTATAATATGTGTCATTCTTTGAAGGGAACAATAAAGAGTTTTCATTCATTCATACATACAATTGTGTGATGTAAACACAATAAATAAATTGTAAACAAACAAATATGCACCAGATTATTTCAGTAGATTCATCAAAAACATATTTCCGACTTGTCATGAAGTTCTAATTGCTCATATTTCGACGGTAATTGCCATCGTTTACCGTTTGGTAATAGAATATGATTATAGCATATTACTATTAATTTTCATCCTCAAAATGTCCTAAAGTCGACTAAAAATATAATTTAAAATTGTGTCCACAAAAAAGAAATGTAATTCGTTTGTAGTTAAGTTATTTTTATTTAAAAACTAAATTACCGAATCGATTTTGTAATTTTTTTTATGAAACTATGGTAAAATTAATACTGGCAATAAGATATAATTTAAGACTAGACTATACAAAAAAAACTGACTTCAGTTAGGACAAAACCAGTTATTTTAATTTAAAAACTAAACTGCTTAATCGAATTTGACAAAATTCCCATAAGACCGATCTGTAAGTATATTATTTCAGATAAAAAATATACATAATTTTCTAAATCGATTAATAACTGACGGAGTTATGGAGGTAACAAACATAAAAAAAATACCACTGCATTAAGAATCTTCTCCGTTTTTGAGATCTGCTAAAAACGCAATGTACTATTGTTTTAACAACATAAAAAAAAATATTGTAAGCCATCTCGCTAACAACTGTATACATTATATTACAATACATTTTTTTTATCGGTGAATATAGAATGGTAACCCCACCTGCGCTATCGAAATACACCGACGAGGCACCAGTGGAAGATGATAGGTGAGAATGCAGGTCACTTGGCCCATCATGATG